CAAATTTTAGCAGAAAAAAAAATTTGGTGGAAATTAGATAAGCGTTACCTTATTAGCCTATCTTAATAGAAATATTTGCGAAATTATGCAAATAAGGCTTTTTTCCTTTTTCCTGGATTTCCTAATTTATCATCGATTTCATTCAATCCATAATCACAGTCAGAAAGCAAAAAGTTTTTCAAAAAATTAGCCTAAAATTTCTGATTCTGCGAGTTTTTAAAAATTCTACAGAATATAGAATTTAAATATAGTTATATTATTTAAATATAAATATAATTCTTAAAATCTTCTATAAAAATTTTTACTTGCACGCGCTTTTTTTATATAAAATTTTAAAAAAAAGCCAAAGAATTTTGGCTTACCAATTTGCTGTGTCGCATTTGCATGTGGATTAGGTCGCGACCAAATTTTTAGAATACTTTCTGATTTATGATCCTTGCTTAATTTGTTTATATCTTTTTTTGGTTCGCCTTCCTGAATGTTATGGATAAATTTCATAAAAGTATGCATAATGAGATCATATGCATAAATCTCTTGGCAGGTGCTTGAGAAAATGATCTTTCCTGTTTTTGTCCATAATCACCATCTGGCATGTTTAAAAAAACAATAGATTTTATGGTACAAAACAGGAAATGGACAAGTCGCTGAATTATTATCACTAAGCGATAAAAAATATCTAATAGCCGTGTAGTAAATAGCTTAAAATAATCGTGTTTGCTTTTCTTATTATATACCACAAATAAATGATTAAGCCAGAGATTTTTAAGCCAAAGAAAAATCAAATTTTTTAGAAACACAGTTATGCATAAACGAAATAAAAAAGTACTCGATCCTGAACTTTGATAGCATGCTCACGAATTCCTCCAAATGGTGTTAAGCCAGCCTGAGAAGCGAGTTCTTTGTCCCAAAGTGAGGGACAACTTATCCGTGGCACTACACCATCATTGCTTTCACTTAGTGGTCGACTACACTGTATTTTAGTAGCTGGAAATATATTTAGAATAATAGAATAATATTAAGGATGTATTATATATATATATATATATATATATATATAAGAATTTTATAAGAATTATAAGAATTTATAAGAATATATAAGAATAAGAATTTTTTAAGAACTGAACCTGAATTTTTTTCAACTGATAATCAAACTGATTTCAAAAGTACCAAGTATAAACAGTTTTATGGGTTAATGAAATTTAATAATTCTATTAAATTTTTTTTCTTAATCTTTTCTTAATCTTAACAAATCTTAACGAATTTGTTAATCCATCTATATTATTTATCATTTAATTAATTGTTTAATAAATACTTTAGTAATATTTTAATATTTTTAGTATTGAACTTATTTTTTAACAATATTTAATATTTAAAATCAATATTATTCTAAATATTTCTATTAAATATTTTTTTAATATTTAATATTATTGCAAAATTTAATAGTTAATAATAGTTAATAACAGTTAGTTAATATTCGTTTCAAAAATATATATACATGAAATATTGTTATCATTTTTCGAGAATATAAGAAAATTTTTATCAATTTTATTTTTTATTAAATCAAAGACCAGATTTTATCGATTCTATACTAATTTGTTCTAACAACTTACTTACTGGTTACTAATTTATGATCCTTGCTTAATTTGCCTAAAGAGCACATTAACTTACTCGCATTGCGAATTGAACCAAAGCCGCCCGATCCTTTTTGACTTGCATATTTGTTCGTACCATATTCCCATGGAATAACGCATGGAAGAATAATTTTTCGCCGATGTTTTTCGGCTTCTCGCTTCTGATATTCCTGTAATTTATAGAAGTTCCACACACAATGTGGGCAATGTGGAAAATTGTATAAATAGCTCATTAGATTAGAATATGAAAATTGAAGCAAAAAAAAAGCTGATAGAGTAAGTTTTTTGCTTTTCAACCAATGAATTTTATTATATAACCATGAAGTAAAAACATAGAAAAACATTTGTTGCACCGCCAAAGTTGTTTACGAATTCATAAAATTTTTCTCAAGAAATTCCTAATTCCTTTAAATCTGTTTACTTAGAAACTTTCACATTCCACATTATTCGACAGCTTACTAGGGAACTCACAAAATATTATACATTATAGTGATTATTAGAAGTAAAAGCAGAACACTCGGATGGATAGTATGTTGCTTCGAATTCAAGCATTTTCATTTTTATGATTTTGACTCCTCTCTTAACGATAACAAAGAAGATCATTAGGGCCCATAATCATGCGTCCACACAGCAAATAGTTGACAAATTGGCAATTAATAATCGGATTTTTTCTTGATATTTGAGAAATCAATCACTAACTTTGCAAAAGAAAAGTTTTTTTCAACGAAAAAAAAAATCATTTCAATTATTTTAAATCTAAATCAGCTCATCGGTTCAGTAATATTCTATTTTATTTTATTTTTTTAAAAATTTTTATGCAGAAAATGTGGAATTTAAATTCACTTAGAGTCTCGGCTTCTATTCTCAAGTAACGCTGTGGTGAAGAAATGCGGCAAATCAGGAATGCTGAGTTAATAAAGGAAATCTAAGATATTTTCAAGAAAAAAGGATATCTATTGTTCTAATTAAAGCGATAGAATGAAAAAAATAAAAGATAGTCGTATTATCTTAAAATTTTAAAAAATTGATATATTCCGATCAATAGAGATATTTACAAAGGAAATTGGATAGTTTAAATTTAAAAAAACAAAAAAATATTTCCACTTTAATCGCTCACATATCATGAAATAGTCGTCAATCTATCTGATCTGAATATAGGAGTATAGGAGTTGATACTCTTTTTCTTTTTTAGACTGATAAATAAAGTCAAAAGCTAATAAAAAAAAAGATAGCAAAAAATAGTTAATATAAACAACCTAAATCTATAATCAAAATATTTATTAGTGAATAAAAAACATTATTGATATCGGATTAACTGATATGATAAAATTAACAGATCGAAAAAAAATTATACCGATTGTTGAGCCATGAGAGTTTAGAAATTTCAGCTTTACGGATTGTTTGTTAAATTCAATAGAATTTCTTCTGTATAAAGGTTTCTTAAGATCCATTCAATGTTGACATATAGTCATCAGCTGCTTTCCCCGTTGAATCTTTGTTGAACCTGATCTAGAGCAATATTTACTTTATTTATTTATCTAGTAATTTCCCGCAGTTTTTACGAGAGCGTCATTTTATGATTTTGATTATTCGAATAATTATCAACTTCAAATATTTCAATTTCGCTCTTCAGTTTTTCATAAATAAGTAAGTTTCTTCTATAATTGCTTACGTTATTTTATTTCAGGTGATATTTAGATAATCCCTTTCAACTTATTAAAGGTTCCACATAAAAAACCTATTTTAAAATTTAGTCCTGCATAAGTCGATCGATTTACAGCACATTGCCATCAATTTTTTTCTTATATTTTTTAAAACTCCTTACAGCCAAATAATGAAAATATATATCAAACAAATGAAATAATGCTTATCAAAATAGGTGTGAAAGAATTTAATCGAGGTTCTTTTCATTATTTTTCATTAGATAATGAAAAATATCTTTAAATCTATATATTTTTTTATTGAGAAATGCCTTATTTGAAAAATTTATTCAATTCAATTGAAATTTTCATTATTTTTAGATAAGTTTTAAACAAGAAACAGGTTTTACCACAAAAATTTTCGTTGTAAATATAGCATAAATATTATCGAAAATTAAAAAAAATTATTTAAAATACGCTTCATTCTTTACGTTGTTTTTTACTCAATAAAATATAAAAAAATACTAAAAAAATTTGCATAAAAATTAATTTGAAAAATAGAAAAATGCGAAAAAAAAATTTGCCAAACTATTGCAACGAAAACATTGAAACGTGTCATCGAATTTGATTTTATGAAAATACAAATATCGACTGAAAATTCAAATTTTTTTTTTTAAGAATATTGGTTAGTCTACTTCATTAGCTCGTCGAGCCAAATTTACCAGCGCGCCGCCTGGCGAAAAAAGTACCACTATCATCAGATTTACAGATTTTTGAAAGACAGGTTTGCGCCTATTCGGAATAGAACTCCCAGCATCGATGCTTCGAAACATCCCATTAAACTATTTTACTCTTTCAAAAAAACTTTTTTGGCTGGTCTTTTGGTCTTTTTTTGCAAAGACAGGTTTGCGCCTATTCGGAATAGAACCCCCAGCATCGATGCTTCGAAACATCCCATTAAAATTGAAATATTAAGATGAATTCCATAAGCATTTTCTTATTTTTGCTAATTTTACAATTTTTCCTTCAGCGATAAAAAAAACAGTTCTTATTAGCGCAGAAAACCGAAAATCGACCTTTCAGTTAAAAAAATGTAGGCAAAATTCAATTCGATGTCAGTAATTTTACAGTTTCCCATATCTTTAAAAGCGATTAATTTCGGAGATATTAGCAAAACAATGAGAAAAAATTACAAATAAAGGTGTTTAAATAAATTTTGGAATTGTCATTATTTCTGAACTAATAATTAAATAAATAAGTCGAAGACCATTTCTGACACGTCGGTGATTGCCCTACTGGCTTGTCAAACTAGAAAAATTTTTCCAGGAAGATATTTGGAGATAAAAATAGAAATGGATCACCATTACCATTTAAAAGACAGGTTTATTCCTGCGGGGAAGAGAACTCGAAATAAGAGCAACAACTCGCTGAGCCATATTATTTGCATGAACGAGTATATAAAATAAAAAAAGAAATCACAAAGAAAAACGAAAGAGGACGGTAAATAAGGTAAGGAAAAAATAACTGAAAATTTCAATGAATCGTATCGTAGAAGCATCGTAGAAGCTCAAAGCAAAAAGATTCTTATGACGAACCATTGTGAATAAATTTATTTATTTTATTCATTGATTTCTTTTATTTGCAATATACATCCATTGAACGCAAAACTTACCTCTTAAGAACGCTTTTTTTGTGATAAAATTAAAAATTCCAATCGAAAAACTTCATTCATCTCGAAATTTTAAAATAAATAAACGAATATAATTCAATAAAAAACTTCTGGGAAATCAGTACGGTGCGAAATTAAAAAGCACCACAATTTTATAAAAAGTGGAACTATCTTATAACCAATAATGTGATACACATATTTAGAAAAAACAAAAAGAAAAGAAATAAAAAATTATGAAAAAAAAATTTTAAAAATGAAAAAATTTAGCGAGGATTTATTTTAGAAAAAACAAATAATTATTTGGAAATTGATCAAAAAAAAATGATAAAATGATAAAATGATAAAAATGATGAAAAAACTAATTATCATTAGCTCATTACCTCAACAGATATCTTTCTTTTGGATTTTTCTCAACAATCCATAAACCTAACAAAAATAATTTGAAAAGAAAAAGAAATTGAAAAAGCAATATATTTAATGAATTATTCGCAGACATATTTAATATTCAAATTAAAAATTCTAATTTATTTAATAAAGTTAATTGAGTTCAGAATTGAAACGAAACTAAACTATTAAGTGCCAATCAAAAATTTCATTGTCATTAATGCTAAAACGAAAAAGTAGAAACGAAAAAGTAGAATTCAAAGAAATTGTGATAATCCCTGTCAAAAGAGAAATGGTGAAATGGTGAATGAAGAAGAAAAATATCGAAATAGAAGAAATTTTATTATTTATGTTCAGATGTTCAGATTTTAAGTAAATATTTTTGTTATTGTACAATCATCGTTGAAATTTAGCGAATTCATAAAGTACTTAAAAATCAGTGGTATGAATAAATTAAATAAAGATAAGTGATAAAGTAATCAGAAGAAGACGAAAGTCCAGAAGGTAAAATGAATTAAAATAAAGTAATAAAGGGATTAAAGGGACAAAATTGAAAGAGGTGCGATGATTATCAGAAGACAACGTCGAAAAAACGTCGAGTACTTGATTTTATAACTCAGAATGAATATTTTGATGCAATAACCATCTTATAAATAAATAAATCTATCGCCGAATCTATCATAGATAAACGAGCGAAACGCCAGTAGGGATAAAACCCAATAAAATTTGGAGATATATTATTTATTATTATTATTGTTGATCGCATATGGATTATAATACATCAATAATCAAGTGATTTACTCGCATGGAATTTCTAAAATTTGTTTCAAAATTAAATAAAATGGGCTGCGCAAGTGGAAATCATCAACATTACTGATAATGGAATTAAACGAAATGATTGGTTTATTTTTGGTAAATGATAACGATAATAGTCATTAAAAAATGATTGTAATTATAAAACGATAATAATAATAATAATAATAACGATAATAATAATAATAATAAAAATTACTGGACAAAAAAAATAATCTCTTATCCCCTAAAAAAATCCCCTAAAAAAAAATAATTAAAAACCACAATTATGGTAATAATAATAGTAATAATAATAGTGATAATAATAATAAAAATAATAAAAAACCACAAAATTGATAAAACAAAACAAATGAAAAAAGATAAGAACGAATAAAAAAATAAAAACAATAAATTGATTGGTTAAAATTTCCAAAAAATTAATGGCATTATCTGAATTAAATTAGCATTTTTAAATAAACTGGATAGCATGGAGTATTTGCTTGTCTGCAATAAAACCACTTGTACCTTTATCACCAAGTGATTATCGGGCAAATGAGTTCCATTCTAGTAATTTGTAAGGCTAAAGCAGATATGGCGAGAACGATTCGAAGAAGAAAGATATGGAATTCCACTGAGATTCTCAGCCTTATATTTATCATTGCAATGCATTTATCTCTTTTCATATCCGATTATTAGAAAGCCAATGAATATTTGAAGTAATGATTAAGAACTATTTTGCAAACTGAAT